GCATTTCTCAGGAACTTGGCAGCAAGGTGAGCTTTCTTATGGCTTCCCTTCATCTACCGCTTATGCTTGCTAAATGCTACCTATGTCAGGACACGTCCAACTTATTATGCTTGATTTCCGTTACTTAGGCAGTACCTTAAGTATCATTTGGTTACTCTGTTTATATATCTTGGTTCCAGTTCTGTGTACATTATGCAACCTCTGATTGGTTTCTCATGTTGTGACCAGGTTCCATTCTGTCCAATGGTTGGATCAGAAGTTTACTCATCAGAAGTGAAGAAAACGGAAGTTCTGATGGAAAACTTTCGTAGGGCCATTGGCTTGCGTATCAAGGAAAATAAAGAGGTTTATGAAGGAGAGGCAAGTTTGAGTCACCATGGTATCTTTTCCATTAATCATATATATCATTCTTTCATGCTTTATTCACGATGCTTACTGTGAATCTGTCAGGTCACTGAACTATCCCCAGAAGAAACTGAAAGTGTGACCGGTGGTTATGGAAAAAGCATTAGCCATGTCATAATTGGTTTGAAAACTGTTAAAGGGACTAAGCAACTGAAGTTGGATCCCACCATCTATGATGCCTTGATAAAGGAGAAGGTAAAAATAACTCATCCGCTCTAGCTATTCACAAATATCTTTTTCGTTGTGCTGTCAAATTCAATTTTAGCTTACCATTTTGATGCCTTATCATCTGTGGCTGTTGTTTTATCATGTTATATACAGGTGGCCGTGGGAGATGTTATATACATTGAAGCAAATAGCGGAGCAGTGAAGAGAGTGGGGAGAAGTGATGCTTTTGCGACAGAGTTTGATCTAGAAGCAGAAGAGTACGTCCCACTTCCTAAAGGTGAAGTGCACAAAAAGAAGGAGATAGTTCAGGTACATGACTCTTATGGCTATAGCTTGTGGTCATCCCAATGATACCTTTCGGCCACCAAGTTTGCTCATCGTTAGTAACTTCTGTGGTATTTTCTTCGAATTGATGTGATTGGCTTTCTTGAAAAATCGTGCTCTAATTGTGTGCTTCTAGATAAAACCATCTTTAACCTAATGGTAAGAATCTTGCAACACTGAGGATGCTACTGGAGGTTGCAAGTTTTCTGCAGAACTTTGATGCTCCAATCTAGCCAGTTTAAATTGCAATGCACTATGCTTGTAGCTTGCGCACCTTGTGGTGTCATACCTTTGTTCTAATATTTTAGTTCCACGACAATTTTCCAGGTTTGGTATTTATCTGGATAAATTTTGTTTCCATCAGGATGTTACACTGCATGATCTAGATGCTGCTAATGCAAGGCCTCAAGGTGGGCAAGATATATTATCTTTAATGGGGCAAATGATGAAGCCAAGAAAGACCGAAATAACAGACAAGCTACGCCAGGAAATAAATAAGGTATTTTGTTGTAGCTAATCACATTGCTGTGGGGATAAAATAATCATGCAATGTGTATCACATCAATTATTTAGATTATGACATTTATAGTTGACTTGGTCACCAATATCGTGTAACTGAATAAGTTGGCTATTATTTTCATCTTTGTCATTAGCTCTTATATTTTTTCCTGCCATCGAATAGCTCCGAGCTCCTATGCTGGTTTCAACTGTACATAATTAATGGACTGTCACAAGGGAGGCTCTTTTTTATGGCAGGTTGTTAATAGGTACATTGATGAAGGTGTGGCAGAACTTGTTCCTGGAGTTCTGTTCATTGATGAGGTCCTTTTCCCACCACTTCTGCAACCTAATTTATGACTATATCTCATTCTTTTTCTGATCCTGTCAATTCCATTTATCAGGTGCACATGCTGGATATGGAGTGCTTCTCGTACATGAATCGGGCTTTAGAGAGCTCATTGTCTCCTATAGTTATCTTTGCAACTAATAGAGGAATATGTAATGTAAGGTGCGTTTTCAATAATTTTCAGGCTTCTAACTGTAAAACATTATATCATCGCTGATATCTATTAATTTTACCCTACCGCAGTAGAGTAAGATGTGTAAATTAGATACAAAATCAATTTTCAGTTCACGTTCACTTAAATATAATGTCAGAATTTAATTAAGGTTAAAGGTTTTAATAAGTATCAGATAAGCTAGTAAGCATGGTAATCAATCTTTTCTTCGCTTCCACTTTCTCTAGGTGTTGCATTGTAAATAACATTCCAACTGCACGTCCCTGTTCTTAAACTGGAGTTTTTGTATGTTATTCTGCAGAGGGACTGATATGAATAGTCCGCATGGCATACCTGTTGACTTGCTGGACCGCTTGGTGATTATACGGACACAAATTTATGGCCCTGCAGAAATGATACAGGTTCTCCTCAAGTTCCCCACTTCTGTTTGCTTAAAACCTTCCCTAGAAGTTAACAAGTCTAACAACTGACATGATCATGTTGTCTGGCTAGATATTAGCAATTCGTGCACAGGTCGAGGAATTGGTAGTTGATGAAGAAAGTCTAGCATTCCTCGGAGAGATCGGTCAGCAGACATCCTTAAGGTTGGTACTATAAGTTCTTTCCTTGAATTAGATTCTGGACATATCAGTTCTAGCTGTTACTAGCTATGAGATAGTAAGTTCAAAACTTCCGCCCTCTTGTATAATTAACTTGTGAACCACGTTTCTTCATCAGGCATTCTGTTCAGCTCTTATCTCCCGCCAGCATTGTAGCAAAGATGAATGGTAGAGATAATATCTGCAAGGTAGATACCTAACATCCCATTTATGAACCAGTGGAAAGTGCAAACTCATAATTCCACTGGACAATTTCTTACTTTTCCGATTCACTGCTGCTTACTTGCTTGCTGGTTATATTGGTAGGCCGATCTCGAGGAAGTATGTAGCTTATATCTGGACGCCAAGTCCTCAGCGAAGCTACTTCAAGAGCAGCAGGAAAAGTATATTTCATGAGCTGATGATACACGTTTGCTTGCTTACTTGCTAATCTTGGAAGGATTAAGATTTGTTTTATTGAAAACTCCATGTACAAGTGTGTTGGATGGATATCAGCACTTTGTTGTAAAGGCAAATGAAATCTTCTGGATCCTGGTTGGTACATCATTAGTTTCAGACAATGCAGAAGCAATCCCCTCTTCTTTTTCAGTTCTGCCACTTCATTGATGTGTCTTTCTATAAGTGTGATCAACTCAGAACCCTAGGCTGAATTTGCAGACTTGTGCCATGGTGTCTGAGTGCAAAAGCTCCCTGTTATAACTAGGTGCCTTTCTGAGAGTAGTCGACACAGTGTATGCAGTTATGCACCTAGTTTTGCAGTTGTCTCATCTACACCTAGTGATACTTCACTATCTTCTCCAACTGGAACGGACACGACTTCTTTCAAGTTACATTCTAATTTTGCAGGGAGAGGGAGCAAGGAGAGGAGCTGCATTCTCCCAATCTTTGTTTCTATTTCTGCTCTTCATCAAACGTAACATGCCTTCTGATTAGACAGGTTATGGCAGCCGGTCTTTTGCCCCAGTAATCTACTTGGTTACTGTACATGCATAAAATTTTCCTTTATGTAATTTAATGGGTTATATCTATGTTATTTTATGTCGGAATTCAGATTTCTTGTTAGAAAAATAAGAATAATTGTACTCTTTAATATGACATCTACTCTTTTATATTTTTTTAAAAAAATTTGACATAAATGATGATTCAGGATCATAATTTTAATGTTTGGTAGTAAATAAATTTGTATCATATTGTATTGAAGTGTACCATAGTGGTATGAATATATATGTGTACAATGGTTGTATACCTGATAATATAAATATATTAATCACATTTCACCATCGTTTATCATCACTTACCACTATGTACTAGGAGGTATATTTGGTTTTGAATTTTTTTTTAATAATTTGTACAAATCGAGTAAAAAAATAGAAGAAACCTTTTAATCTCACTCTTTAGATCTTATCTCATCAAAATAAGAGCAAGATCTAGATAAAGATTATATACCCGAATCTCACCTTACAAAGCTTCTCTTGGTTTAGCTTTATGTTTACTTATCCTGGCTCAAGTTTTGCCTAGCTTTGTTGTCAATAAGAAGCAAATCCTACCAAAAGTAAGCAAAATACAAGAACAAATATATTCAAGAACCGAACCCCTTCACTAGGCCACCACTTAAATGAAGTAGAGTGAGAAAGGAAGAAAGAAAAGGCTTAGCTTGTGCGGGTGGCAATTTATTATACAATCCACCAATCCAATCCATCTACTTAAATATTCATTTAATCCAATTCATTTAAATTCAATCTATTTGATCGAATCCAATAAGAGTGATATATTCATGGCTTGGATTCATAGATTATTAGCAAATTATAATTTAGTACCTATATTTTTATATTTAGCAATTTGGTACCTAAGATTTATCTTTTTATATTATAAGTGTCATTGGAAAATTATATTTTGATAACTAATTTTTTTATTTATGACATTCTAGTACCTAAAATTTTCAAAATTAACATATTAGTCCAAAACTTGAATGTTATTTGAATACATGAACTAATTTATGGTTCATGAATCGAATCCATTTGCCACCTCTAACTTCAATAGATAGAACACCCCTCCACCACTCCGACACACCTATAACTTAATACACATTTGAGAAACTCTCCTCAACCGAGTCGCAGCTTTTGACACAAAATGTAGGCTAAAGGAGTGTGATAAGATTATGACACAAAATGCATAAAGACAAAAAAGCATAATGACCGAAAGCATACGGAGGGCGCAGCAAATGAGGTCATGCGCCTCGAACCTCTGAACGTCGTGTCAGGTGGTCGAGGTGCCCGGCAATGTGAAAGTGCAGTGCATTTAATGTAGGGATAACGTGAGGCGGATTCGGGGGCAATGGTCGGCGGGGCTTCGGGTATAAATAAGAGAGTTGGTGAACCTCATCTACTCAGGTTGGAACTTCCCTTTCTAAACTTTTATTTGAGCGTTGGAGTGCTAACGGACCACCCAGATCCGCTAGGCCTTGTGTGCAGGATGTTAGGTGCTCCGTGCCCAAAGAAGAAGGAAAGAAGGCGCCACGCCGCAAAGGGAAGAGGAAGAAGGACAACCAGGCTTGGGAGGAAAGGAACTTGGCTCAAACACCATTTATATACAATTTCATAGCCATAACTTCTCGTTGATCCAAGGGATCAAGTTTCCACCTCGATGGAACAAAGGGCTTCCCAAAAGAAGACGTTTAATAAAATATCAGTGCAATCTCCTTGTTCATACAACAAAGTTGCACAAAACAGGGGAAGATGTAGGTTACAGATCTTTATCTAGCCCTAGAAATCAATGCTCTTGTTACACTGTGAATAAGCACACTTTTTCATCTCTACCTGAAGACTTTGCATTAAACATTCGCTCTTCCAGCCAGCCGCTCCGTGCCCTAATTAGCAAGAACTATCTCATCGTGTCGATAAAACAATACACAGTGCACAAGGATTCAAAAAGCTCAAATTTGTTATTCGTGTCGGGTAGTAGAACATTAACAGTGGTTCAATTCGCATGTCTCCCTCCTCAGAACTTGAAGTCTTTCTTTTTCGATTTTCCTTCCTTGTCCTGCATTTTGCGCTTCCTTTTCTTTTCATTCTGCACCAACAGGAATTGAATTTCGCAGTCATTTCTCTGTCTAGTGCCAGCTAACGAGTTTCAAACAGCTCTACTAGGTGAAATGAGCGAATAATATGGAAACAAACCTCTGCAACCATGTCACTGAAGTCCTCTTTTTGACTCCGCAATTTCTCCTCTTCCCTGGCTTCCTCGTACCTGAAAATCCAATCAACCCACCCTTGTAAACTAATGCATTAAACCCCAGTGACGAGGATCATACAGTATCGAAATCACAAAAAAGACATCTTACTTGGCAGATAGAACATTGTCCATGACTTCCAACTCTTCAGGCTGCAAACTAACCTCCACTCTATCAGTAGCCTTGTTTCCCCTAATCAGATCCACCTGTGAGAAAGAAAAAAAAGTTAACTGAAAACTTGAAGACCAATAATCTTAACGGCTGGTAAATTGATTAATTTTTAGCGATTTTTGAGTTTATAGATTTCAAAATAATGTGTTTTTTGGAAATAACACTGGAAACCATTGCTTGGTCTACTAATTTTTGTAAAAAATTGGGTACGTGGAATTTAAGTTGGCCCAGAATTAAATAGGGGCAGTATTTGAGTGCCATAATTTTTGAATAATTTCCTCTTGATGTTGAGGATAACATGGTAAAATGGATAGATAGTGCAATCATTTTTTTTGGTGAGCAACACAATTAATTTAAAACAATTCATTGACTCGTGGATTTCGGGCACAATCCATCCGGTAATAAAATTCTCACCCTTTTAGCAGCGTTCTTATCCTGGGTAGTACCGCTAGGAATTGCATACCTGCAGCCATATCCAAATACGAGACTCAGAAATCACCAAGGACTATGCAGTTTTCAAATTAGGGTTACAGAGAGGAAACAAACAAAAGCATACGTATGAGTTGTGCCAAGTAACGTTCCAGCAGCAATACTCTCTTCCTTTTGTTCGAGAACCTGTCGACAAAGGAGCACATGAAACAGCCATGTTAGGATCATAAGTAACAAAAGCTCTGTTAACTATTGAGCTGGCTGGTGCCTGTCATTGGTGCCTTCAGTTAATCTAAAAGCCAACTCCACCTTCGAAATCAAATTTAAAATTAAAGTGCCACTCTACCTTTGAAATTCTACATTCAAATCCTACCCCTTTCTCCTCTATAAATTCGCAGAAGTCTGTAAGATCATTTTAGCCATTTCATGCAACTCACATATTTTACTAATTTCTACCATCAACCCTACAAGAATCAACAGGAGTACAAGAATACATGATCAATTCACATATGACATACCTCACTTATTCCAATAATGTTTCACACTTCTACTTGTACTATTCCTACTGTAGGAAACTTCAGTACTAGACCTCCTACCGGTTGAAACCAGCAATACCATTATGTTAATTTCAAGTTATCAAGTAAAACTATACTTACTTGGTAGAGCGGCCTATCAGGTTCCTTTCTCTGCTGTTTACGGAGGTCAATAACATCAGGTGTTTCAACACCAGTTGGTGTACTGTATGAAAACAATTGAAGGATTAATATATAAACCCAAATGACCATACTTAATAGGACCAAATAGAGGGCCTAACTGAAAAAAGGTAAAAAAACAAATTGTAACTTGATACCTTGAAAGACTGTCAACAGACTCAATGCCATCCTCAAGTTCCTCTTCTTCCATCTCTTCTTCTTCTTCTTCCTCCTCCTCCTCCTCTTCTTCCTCTTCCTCCAAATCACCCCAATGCTTACTCTTATCAACCGGCTCTTCCTAATAATTATTGCGCAAATATCAGCAAGTCAATGAATACATACTTTCAAGGTAATTACCAAGCCCTCGACTACACAGAGTAGCATAACCAGAATAAGAAAATTACCTCGTAGTTAGGCTGTTCTTGTTGCTGAACCCCAAAAACATCTCCATACAAAGGCCGCCCATACTATAAAGAAACACAAAAAGTAAATCAGTTATCACTAGGGAAATGAGACCAGTAAGTAACTTCCTATGCAGTACTAGTCCAATGTTGCAGGCTACGACATTAATAACTCACCTCATCAACTGGAGGCTTGCCCCAGCCACCGGGATGATAGCCAAAGCTAGCTCCTGGAGGGATTGGTGCATTCAGTCCAGGGATCTTCAAATGCGGGTATGATGGCGGAGGACCATATCTCTGCAGAAACAAGATCAGTAATCACATAGTAAGAACAAGGATGAGGTAAAATTACACTTAAATGATAAATATCCAAAAGATTATACCTGCATATTGATAAGCCATGGTGGAGGGGCACCTTCAGGCATACCAAGAGCTTCTTTTAGTTCTTGCGAAAGAGACCCTGGCTTCATCTCCCTCAGTTTCACCTATAAGGGTAGACAAATATATGAAGCAGACCATACCAGTAAAACTATATACTTTCAAGTCTATGATGATGAACAAACTGGAGAAAAAAATGCCACAAATTTGAAGAATTGAGACTGAAGCAATAATGAGCATGAAAACCCAAGAAATGATGAGTTTGTACCTCGAATTCCTTCCCTTCGTGGTACAAGTCACCGTGACTAGTTAATCTTGGTTTTGTTTGGAACTTGAAAAAGGCATCATGGAGAACCTGCAAAAGAAGTCATTGGCACAGAGCAGCAATAAATACAAAGCAGAGATGACACCAGAAAAAAAGAAAAAACAACATTGCCAGATAACGAAACCTGATAATCAATGTCCATCTTCCCCATCTTAGGCTGCATTCGCTCTCGTTGCTTCTGCTTCAACTTCTTACCATCCTCTTTCTCAATATATGCCTGCTCAATTGAAGAAAGCAGTAATGATTTTTGTCCAAAGTTAATATTGAATGACGAAATCCATATTCATACATTACAAATCATTCCTATAACAGACAATACACGAAAGAACCTACCACGCGTCGCGCACTTTCCCATTCGAAAGGGTGGTAAGAAAGATCAAGTAAGAATACATCATGATAAAGAAAGACATCAAGAGGATGTTCCATAACAATAAATTCAGCCAACATCACCAAACCATAAACATCCAGATCATCTCACACTATGTGAAAAGGCAAACCGTATTTGGTTGACGTCAACCAGTAAGCTTTTAGGACCTCGTAAAGGCATCATCACTTGACTACGGGATAATAAATTGGAGACATAGCAGAAAATTATTACAAACACCCAGCTGGAAGTTAAAGCAGTCAAAAGTTAACACTTATCAACAATAAACAAGTACAAAATTTGCGAACACAAAATTTACCTGACGAATTTTTTCAATTCCTGTTGCAGCAATGAAATCAGGGAGCTGGAATGGCTGCTTCTCAATCCCACGCTTACCCTGCAAAAACGAATATCGAACCGGATAAGGTACCAGCAAGGTAGTAACTACGCAGATTACCCTAGACCATTTAGTTACTTATCCAGTAACTTTGGTTCAAAACCAAATGATCAGGAAAAAGGTTCAGAAGAATGTGGGACCCAGCACTAAGCATAGAAGAGGCATCTGTAAATTCAAAGTTCAAAGTAGATGAATTAGCAATGACATGGTGAAAAATGTGCACTCCAGTTGACACTAGGACAAGTTTAAGGCTTCCAAACAAGAACAACCTCCACCCCCCAATCGAACCAGCAATTATCATATTGACACCTACATCGCCAACCGAACACAATAGAAAATATTCAAGGACAGTTAATTATAGGGGACTCTGTGGCAAACACATACAAGTCCAGGCTCCAGCAGTGTTGCCGCTCCCCTGCAAGAACCACATATATCCATATAAGAGAAACCTTATCGTTGTTATCTCCCCTCACCCTATCCCTAAACTCTCATGGTGCACCAATATCCATCAACAATGCATATTTCATACATAATTAAGCAACTACTTCCTAACCTGAAGATACTTCCGTTTCTGACACCAGTGCCTTGGTACCGGAACAGTATTTCTGTATGCCTTCAAGAATACAAGCAACTTTGGATCTGATGCAGTAGCATCCCACACCTTGTAAATGAAAGGAAACCAACATCAGCCTACACAATTCAACATCTTTTTAAGAAAGGGGAGCAGATAGAATAGATAACTACCTCAACCACATCAGGTCTTGAGCAAATCTGTTTCAGTTCTGCAATTTTCATTCTTCGCAAAAGCTGCCAATAACACCATTAATCAGTTAGCAAAAACCTAAAAAATGCTTGGCTAAAAAAAAACAAGTAATGCTCGTAGGGTAAAACAAAACAAAGCAAAGGAAGCATCATTCCTGCTCATACCTTTTTCCTCTTGTTTGACAAGCCACCCTTATCCTTCTGCTGGTTATCTTGCTCCCCCTCTTCAGAATCAGAATCTGAGTCAGCCTTCTTCTTAGGCTCGACAATTTGTGCCGCTTCATCTTTCTTATCAGTATCCTGTATCCGGAGCAAACAGTATAAATGACTTGAAAATTGACAAGAAACTGGAATATTATCTAACTGCATACCTCAGCAGCCGTGCCCTGGAGAAAACTAAATTTCTCAAAGATCTTTCTGAATTCATCATCAACACCATCTTCCAACTCAGCCTTCTCGGGAACATATTCCACTACAACTTGCTCAAAACCCTACCACCCCAAAAAAGGAAAGATAAGCAGAGTGAGTATCGAAATGAAGCAGGAAAAAGACTAATCGTGCAAGCTAGTAAACAGCAATTCTCCACTCAGAAACTAGAACTACACACTACATAAATTTTGAAACGAAGGAATTAGCAAAAGCGAAACCCTATAAGTCTTCAAGTGAAACAAACACGGGGGCCTACCTTCTGAGGATTATCGTTCTCCTTCGCCTCGTCGGCATCGCTATCGTCGCCATTGGCTGCTGCTAAAGCATCAGGAGCATGGGAAACAGCTTTGTTCTTCTTCTGCTTGCGCCTCCGCCGGCGACGCTCGCTCTCTCTCGCCTTCTTGCCGGAGCTAGGGTTTGCGGCACTCGGATCTCCATTGGCGACCACGTTAGTATTTGAGGAGGCAACACCACTGCCACCGCCGTTGGACACAGCGCCATTCTGGTACGGCAGCGTCTCCGCCGTCATGGCTGAGGTGCCGTTTTGTTTTTCTAATCAAATCGGAGATGGAATTCGATCGGTACACAGGCTTCTGAGAGTGAGTTGAATGAGCGTCGACGGTAGAACGGCTAACGGGAGGGAACCGCAAAATTCTCGTCTGATCGGTTTATGTATCGTAGAAACCGGCACACGTTTTGCTCATCTACCACGTGCGAGAGAGAAGGTTGTGAATAAATATCAATCTGGTCACCATACTTACGCATGAAAGTGGATATGTATCTCGACTCGGGGATAGGCCGTGCTTGGGCCGGCATGGCATGGGTGTGGGTCAAGTCCATTTAACCTGGGTCGTACTTGGTAGTTGGTATGAGCCGTCATTTTTCTTATAGTGTTATGTTAGTTTCTTTTTTAATTATAAATAAATTTTGACGTATCTACAAACTACAGTCTAATGGTTGCATCGTATTTATATTTATGTTTAATGAAAAAGAATAAAATAAATTTGAAAATGAAAAAGAATAAAATTATTAGGTAGGGAATGAAAGTATTAGTTGGAAAAGTTTAAGAAAAGTAACAAATATAGGTTAAGAAAATTGAAAGTATATGCTAAAATTAAGAGATAAAATCCGGCCATGGATGCAAATAAGAAATGGTGAGAGCTATTGGGGGGCAAACAAAATGTTAGTTTATTCAGTGCGTACGGTGTGGGAAACTTTGAGAAGTAAACAGTTTGCTGGTATAAGCTTGTTTGGAGTAAGCTTTGCCCTCCTCGCTACAGCATGATTGTCTGGTTAGTACTAAAGAATGCCATTACACAAAGGGACAAACTGCTGAGCTGGGGCAAAGTAACTGATGCATCATGTCCATTGTGTGCCTCCTCAGTGGAAACTAGGGAGCATCTACTCCTCCAATGGCCGTTCTCGAAACGCCTTGCTTTGCTCATGAGATGCAGGCTTCTCAATCCAGGTAATTGGGATGCCATGCTTTTGAATGCTAGTTCCGCTACTCGATCTGCAGACAGGGCGAGGTGGCATGGTGTCGTCTGAAGTATGCTGCTTTCTTCTATCTGGAGAGAACGTTGTGGAGTTGTTCATGGTGAGTCCAGGCGAGATCCTATGAAGGTAGCGGAGGCTCTGCAGGCTTAGTTGCAGTTCATGATAGTTGGAAATGCCTCATTGCAGGCAGACCTCGTGAACTTGGGGTACCTTTGAATATTTTGGGGGGGTATTTTACATGTAATTAGTTGAGGTGAGATGAGGTTGTTTCTACGCAGAAGCTACCATAGCTTTTGCTTCGTTGTATTGGTTTTCTATTTACGTCAATAAAGAAACTAATTCAACGGGAAAAAAAGAAAAAATTTGAAAGTATAGCAGGAGTGATTTGACATTAACATGTTTTTAAAAAAATTTAAGTATTTTTATTCAACCCTAATCAATCAAGACGACTTGGAGCTCGATGGTGTGATGGGAAATTTCATTCGCACGGAGATAGTTGGGTGCGATTCTTCGCCTGAGGGGGATCATGAGATTAATCACTCTTTTATGGCGAATCTAGAAGTATAGAAACTGGGTTGTATTTGATTTCATCTAGTATGGTTCCACAGTATTACTTCACGAATATCACGAATAAGTGAATGAGTGGTTGGCCTTGCCAATTCATCCGGTTCCTATTGTTTTGCATCCAGTAGGGCGAGATGCTATGAAAGAGAATGGGGGTAGTGCTTCATTTTCTTTACTTTGTTGATGGTGCGGTGTTGGCAGGTTCTCATTATGTTGGGGGACAAGTAGTGATATACATGGCGATAAGTGTGGTTTACGTGCAGGTTTTCCAGTATACAAATTTAGTGGATCCTTTCTTAGTCGAATTGATGGCGCTACGAGATGCAATCCATTTGAGCTATACAAAGGATCTAACCGAGGTGGCATTCCATAGGGATGTGCAAGCTATCATCGACAAGATTAGGGGTTCATTTGCTCGTTGGATTTGAAAAATAATGGTTTTGGGGGAAGAACTTTGGGATTTATGATGAATTTATTATATTATTGATTTGGAGAGTCTATTGTTAGCATGATAGATTTGATGATATATTTATGATAGATTTGTTACATATGTCAATAGTCATTAATGATTTACAAATCACTACTCATTATTGAGATTTACAAGTGCGTTTGATTTATGAATTTGGATTCGTTTTAAAGAACAAAATGATATCTTTCTGATGGGATAAGAAAATTCCTACTCTATTGACTCGCTGTTACTGTCACTCTAGAAAATGGCCAAGTGTAACCACTTCCTAAAGCGTAGTATAGCGGGTTTGGGTTTTATTATCAACCCGGGTCCTAGATGTGATGACTACTCAGTGAATTCGTATTATCTAGCAATGAAACTTTAGTGAAGTTCTAAACTAACAAGCAAGCAAAGCAACTAAACGGTTGTATTCAGGTTAAGAGAGGTCACCCGGATATGGTTCCCCCTAGTCTGCAGTAAGCCGGATTGTAATTACCAAGTTCGATTTCTATGAAAGTTATACCGCGGAAGGTTCTTAATCAGTCTGAAGTCTCGACTAAAGGTCTTCAGACCCTCTCAATCTGAGTCTCTAGCTGGCGACTAACCTACACCGGAGTAAACAGATTGAGGCCCTATGAACAAAACCTCCACTACCGAATGGAATTCGGTACAGAATAGTAAACTGGCTCCTCGACTAAAGTCACCAATTCACTACCTTCGATTAAGGATACTCTATCAACCTAGGCAGATATTATCATTCTAGGTTAAAGCAGAAACAACAGGAATTTGATCAGGATTCAAGTCATTCAATCATTCAAACCTCAATCGAATATAATCAAATCATAGAATCAACACTTGGGTTCATACACTCAAACCTAACATACAGAACTAGGGTTTCCCACACCCAGATGAATGGGAGAACTACTCCATGGAGAGAGAAGCAAAAGCAGAATCAGACGCGGAAATCATACTGTGAAGATGGATTTCTGCTCCTGGACGTTGAATCGGCACTTCTCCAAGCTCAAACCAAGCTCCAATGGTGTTGAAGATCGATCTAGGGCACTTGGAGGCTCTTGTTCGTCACTTTCTCTCTCTAGGAACCGCTCTGTCTCTCAAAGACTCGAATCTCCTTCTGTTTGGCTTGGAATCCGCTTAAAAACCAGTTCTCCCCGAGTTGCACGGCCAGGTGCACGGCCGTGCACTACACCATTCTGGTCGTGCAGCTCTAAAACGCAGCGTATCCACTTAAGTCGACTCAGCCATCTTGCACGGCCAGGTGCACGGCCATGCAAGTCTGGATTGTGCCCGTGCAAGCTCTCGCACCAACCCGCACGGCCAGGTTTGTATGTTGCACGGCCGTGCGGTACTCTGCTCTGCCCGTGCGTGGCCTCGGCATGAGGCGCACGGCCATATGGCTCAAGTGCACGGTCGTGCGTCTCCATGGTCTGGCTGTGCGGCTCCCCAACAAGCTCGCCCTTCGTCCGTTCGTCGTCCAATCGACCCCAGACTCGCTCCTAAGCCTTCATTCACGTACTAGGACCTGAAATAACACAAACAAGCACAACCTAGCGTGAAATCGGCCTAAAACACGAGAATCAACACCTCAAACGGAGTAAGAGCAGGGGTAAAAACATGTGTAACTAACGGTCTATCAAACTCCCCCACACTTAACCGTTTGCTTGTCCCCAAGCAAACCTAACTCAAACCAATGCAACTCTCCAGACCTCTATAGCAACAAACAACCTCGATCGTAGGTAGAGGACTTCCTAGATCATTTAGCAACTTACGAGGTCAACCGACGCACAAGTCATCTCATAACTTCTTCGGCGAGAGCACTAGTCTCGAGTCAGCATCATGGCAAATAGTGAACAGAGGACAAATGAATCGTGGATGAGGAGACTCTCAAAAACAAAAGATCATGGACTCACATTTTTCAAGGTGCTCGATTTTCTTCTTAAAGATGGTTGGAACCCCTTTTCTTCCTTCTTTTTACTTGTTTTTCTGTTTTTCTCTTTTCTTTTCAAGGGTTCCAACCTATTTTTGCAGAAAACGGGGGCTCCCACCTAGCAAAGGTTTTGCGGGAGCCCAGCTCTTACCGGCCATGCCAGGAGCAGTTGTCTCGAGCCTCGTGCGGGGGAAAGACATGCAAGGGGGCTGGAGGTAGTAGGTGGAAATTGGGAACGGATTCCCGTCTCCCCTTACATACTTTCGCCCTATTCGCACGGGAGACGTTATTTTAAAGCACATTTCGAGCACCTGTTACTTTCAAAACATGATACAAGAGTCCATGACAGGCAGAGAGTCCACAACACCACACAATTCAAGGGTCCTAAGATCACTAATTCACTCAATCAACCAACACACTATGAAGAAGAAATGAGACGTCTTAAATGCATCAACATCCTCCATAGTGCTACACTACCTCCCTAGGTTGCAAATCACTACAGAGACTGTCAATTCAAAGCATACTGAGCAGGCAATTGCAAGGAACACGTACTTGGAGCCCTCAAATTTAAAAATTTGGACAGTGGACTAGGCTCCAAGCACACAAACAGATCTAATGCAGTCAAAAGATAAACACCCCCCACACTTAAGATCGACATTGCCCTCAATGGAGAAGAGGGAAGGAAAGGGGAACGAAGTTACCGGTGTGCACGGACTGCAGAAGACTGGAAATGGACCAGTCGGGAACACAGCACAGCTCAAGGGGAACAGAAGAGCTCAACCAGAATATGTTAGGTCCGATGTCAGCCCAATAAGACATCATCCAGAACAAAGGAAACAAACCAAAACAAAACCAAATCGCAATCCGACTCGAAACACAAGAAAGAAAGTCAAACCTTGGTGGGGTTGCCTCCCCACAAGCGCTTCTTTACCGTCTTTTAGCTGGACGCCCATGGTGGATACTCAGCGAGGTGCAGGAACAGGTGCCTCCAAGAGCGGATCCACATCGCTCTTGAGGTACAGCTTCAGGTGATGACCGTGCACCCGACGGTTGCAACCACCAGCAGAAGTCAGCTCGACCTGGCCATCCGGCAAGATGCAGGCGAGTGAGTACTCAGATGGCCAGGGTGGTCGTGGTGCGGGGGGTGGGACCAGCTCATAGTGGTCTCCACTCTTCTTCCGTGCAGGCTTAGCCACCTGCGGCTTCGCCCGCCACTCCTCCTTGAGCTTTTTGTTCGGAGGCGAGACTGATGGAGTGGCGGCGAAGGAATGATAGGCGGGTCCTGCAAAATGAGAGGTGCAGAAGGATACACGACAGGCTCGTGTACCTGATCAGAAATAG